CAACTTAGATACTCATAAAAATAAAATACTGCAAAGTAAAGTAGAAGGAAAGAGTAGAAGACAAAGAAAGCCACGCTTTGCTGGGGTACAATTTCATGAAAAAATGCTCTTATATTTAACATTTACATAAGTGCAATATTTACGTTTGTAATATAATGCTAACTTAGTGGCGTCGCTACCTTCTACTTATACATAAATGTATGTATGTACGTGTATGTACGTGCACACAATCTTTCAGGGTCAGCAATAAATCATTGAACTCGAATAAAACAAAAATCACTGACGAATTCTCACCTCAAATTTGTTGAAATCGTATCGAATTATCTTGTACAATATATTAACAGTAATATGCATAAACACAAATTTATATGAAAATATATATACATACATACAACACACCAGTTAAACTGAGTGATCATAAAGTGGCATAACATGATTTACGCGCTCCTCCGTCCATTGGCCCAATCGCCTGACTCTTTGATTAAGCGCGTGTAAGTGCTGGGGATTACGTGTGCGTATGTATGTATATAATGCATATTAGCGCGAGAAGTCAAAAGAGTATAATTTATAGAACAAATAAAATATAGAATTCAATTAAAGCGCTACTAAAACAAAAATATATGTGCAGTAGATGGTGATAAAAGACGGGGAACCAGCGAATTTAAAAAGAAAAATTGAATGAGAGGAATACACAAGGCTGATATTACATACATACATATGTATCTACGTGTGCCGTTATATATATATTGAAGTATATAAAATGTAATCACAAGTGTGAAGCATGCGTTTAAAATTCCGCTGTCGTCACTAATATTTCACGCTGTTCGCCCGCCGAAATTTTTGCCGGCTTTTGTCGATCGAGCGTTTTGATTAACGCCTTTCAATGAATTTCGTGAATTATCTGACGAAGAAATAATATTAATTCCTATATGATTGTACTTATTTTCAAGTAGAAGATAACGAAAAATGTCATTCCCAAAAGTTCCGTTTCAAGTAGTGTTATGAAGGGAATCGGTCACTGCCCTTAGGAGAGGGTAATTGATTGTGAAACAAATTATTTTATATAATTTTATAAATGCTTATTTTTGATAGTAAATATTTAGAAAGTCACCACAGGGCCGGAAGTTTTGAAAGGTTGTCTAATACAAAGTTGTAAGGACCTGCTCATTTGATCCATAGAGGTAGAACCATACCGAAAATGGGTTTATATAATTCGAAACTGAAAACATTTTTGAAAGTTCAAAGCAGGGACAATCATTTAATATATAGTCTTATCATCTATATGGGCTGTTTAGGCGAAAGAGGCTTTCTAGAAAGAAATTTAGTTGGTACAAACTTTGGTGTACTCAACTTTTTTTTTTTGGAACTAAAGACCATTAAAAAATTCACTCTTTGAAAAGGCCCGTGAAAAAATAATTGATACTCAACACATCTGCCCCTACGCTGCTATGTCTTAATTAGCTATGCTTTAAAAACCTTTACGGGCATGTAAACTGACGCTGGTCAACACCAGAAGCACAGCCAGAATTGAGTAGTGGCTTTCCCAGAGTGATAGGGTGACTCTTTATAGTGAGGGCAAGAAAATATATTCCCTATCATCACACAAACAGTTATCGCATTCGCAACTCGGCTCCCACGTCACTGTTTATAGTCATAACTTCGAGGTCGTAGATAATTTCATCACTTCAGGCACCAGCATTAAGATCAATAATAATGTTAGCCTTGAAATCTAACGCAGAATCAGTCTCACCAGCAGATGCTACCTTGCGTTGTGTAGGCGATTGAAATGTAAAGTCTTCTCTCTGAGAAGAAAAACCGAATACTACAAGTCGACATTTAATGAGTCGTCCCTGATTTATGGTTATTTGACCATTTGCAACGACGAAAAATGCAGACGGTGGAACGATAAGCTGTACGAGTTGTACCATGACAGTGACATACAGTCAGCGTCAAAAGAAAGTGTACAGTTCGGAACTAATAGAGAATTAAATAAGCTAATACTTTGTCTACCCTTTGCACTGATCCAATCTCCTTGACATTGATTCCACTAAGTTGGACACTACTTTCGACGAAACTTTAGACCACTCTTCCAGTAAAATTTCTTTCAGTGTTTTCTTTTCCTAATTTGCCTGTCCAAATGCTCCGACAGATGCTCAATGGGGTTGAGGTCCGGTGATTATGAGGGGTGATGCCGTTGTTTAGGTGTAAGGTAAAGCTATTTTACTATTTTTACCGTATGCTTAGAATTGTTGTCCTGTTGGAAGATCCAGGATTAATGTAAGCCAGATTTCTCAATGCTAGAAAACTAATTTTCTTATAAAATGTATAGGTAATCATTCTTCCCACTCCACTTGCCGCCATGCATTCCCAAAACCACCATCGACCCCCCACTATGCTTTACCACGAACGTAAAGTTTTTCTGTTCAAACTCTTGATTTTCGTTTCCCCAAACCTTAGTATTTTTTTCTTCCCGAAAACTTCGAACTTGCTTTCGTCAGAAAAAAGTACATTATTCCAAAATGATTTGTTCTTAGTTTTATATTTTCCGCAAATTCTAATCGCCGCTTTTGGTTTTGCGTAAAGATGAGAGGTTTTTTTTCTCGGTACCTTGCCAAAAAGACTATTAGAATGCTATGCTCACCTGATCGAGCTGGCACAAAAATTCGGAATATTTATTCGGACAATTTGACGTGACGGCACTCGCAGTTAGATCTATTGTCGGAGCTCTCACAACTGACCGTGTTTCAATATTCTTAAGCCGTTTTGGTTTACCCGAACGTGGCAATTTTTCTATTTCACCAAACTTTTTTTTGGCTAAATAGGTCCTTCTATGGGCGACCTTTGGATCCAACAAGATGACGCTTCATGTTATGGAGTTAACGCAACAATCAATTTATTGAATGAAGCTTTTGGTGATCGCATTACACCGCGACGTGAGCATGTGGCGTGCCCTTCAAGATCTGCGACTGAACATGGTGTAGTAAAAATATATTCATTATTTTTACTTTTCGTATCCAGCCTTATTGAAATGGTGCCAAACGATTTTTGTGCAATCTTTAGCTCTTGGACAATCGAAACAGTGCTTAGATGACGGTCGGATTCGACAATTTCCACGATTTTACCGATATTTTCAACAATTGGCCTTCCACTCCGCGAAGCATCTTTTACATCAAATTTACCGAAATGAAAACGAAGTTCGCATGATTGACGGTAAGAATATAAGAACCATATACACTTTTCACACTTACAGAAGAAAAACTGTAGAATATAGCGTATCTTCTCTTTGTTAGTGTCCATCTTTGACACATGCTCAAGCAAAACTTAATCAAACAATCACAAAACTGTCAGAAAAGCTTTTTTTTAGTACGAAATGTAATCTTTCTAACGCCATCTAGCGGAAGCCGAATAGGTGTGATACACCTAATATTATTTTTGGGGTTATGTAAAGTCACTCCCCAGGAGGATAAGCCTGAGACGATTGCGTCTTGGAAAAGAATATTCGGCGCGCTACTGCTGACTTGTGGCCCTAATTGCTGGAACCAATTTTCGGCCACTTGGCTGAAATCATTTTTAGAACAAAATGACAAACCCTCATCTCTAAGATAAAACTAAATTCTTGGTCATAGCATACAATGATATGTGTTTTATTTCTTCTAAAGAACCTTTTGTCTTAAAATGGCACCCTTTATAAGTTCATGAGCGAACAAAATTACTTGTACGGAATGAGTATGAGTATCACTTGAGTATGAATGAGTATGAGAGTATTTGAAACTAAATACTCGATATCTGGCTTGGATGCATTTAAATAAGTACGAATCATTTTGAGTAAAAAAATTATCTATAATTTGTTTTTGCGGCCATGCTATATATTAATTTTTATTAAGTAAACTACGAGGCCTTGTTGTTTGTATGAATTGAATATTTGTTATACAACAAAGAAAAAATGGTAGAAGTGACAGCTGTTTCGGAGATCACCACATCTCCTCATCAGACTTCTTATGGCGGGGATCGAACCAACGATCCTGGCTTAACAAGCGAGTGTTCTATCACTGCGCCAACATCAGCCATATAATCTGTTGTTGTATTATTCAATTCATTATTAACCAACAACTATTAAGTGCGCTAATTTAACCGCTATTTTCTTAACAGCTTGGTTAGTTGTTGTTGTGTTGGTCGATATGTTTCAAATCAATTCATTCCGCCAGAATTTGTTTGAGCATTTCCAATTGGGAATGCCTGCATTTTGATTTGTGTGATAGTTATGTAAAGATTTTTCTCAGACAATATTTTAATTAATAAATAAATTATTATTTTTTAAATGTGCTGAAATGAAATATCGTCGTGATAAGTTATCTTTCGAACAAATGCTTATCATATACGCTAGTCATGTGCGTAGAATAAAGTTTGACAAGGAAATTAAATTTATTAATAAACGAAAATGACAAATTCGCAACTTTTTTTGAATGCTCATTATCTAAGACACGGAGCGCATGTCCTCAACTCTAATGAAATATGCATTTAATAATTCTACTTGCCAAACTGAGAAACAATTTAAGAATTCTTTTTGCAATCAACAAACAAAAAATTATTATTTTTTTAGGTGACCAAATTTACTTACGATGAGATTGCCCAAGGCTGCTGATTTGTACGTTGCTTGAATGTTTTAATTCGGTTTTTGGGTTTTGTGTCATCAAAAATTTCCGAAACCATTACGTAGTGCACAAAAAATGTGCAATGTGTTTACCTACATGTCTTGCTTCCTTCATATATACATATTACAATCTCATTTTTTTCCAATATTCAACAACTTGTTGAATTCGATTAGAATTGAAATTGACAATAAATAAATATTTATAGGATTAACTATACTGTTGAACGTAGAAATGTAGAAAAGTATGTACGAAGCTATACATATTTATAAGCCCTTTTATCTATAATCTGTTCCATATATGTATGTACATATGTATATGAATATGCATAAGTGAATAATACTCACTCACCTGAAAGCTTGTCTGACAGCCAGACAAATTGCTGGAATACTTAACACAACGTCCGATATTGACGCTGTGCACATTGGTGACGCCATTTCGTACACACCAATCCAGATTGTTACGCATCTTTCTTATGACACTGCTACTCAGCAATATGCCAGCATTTAAATCACAGTAATTACGATCACTTTGATTGCCGAGATCATCAACACCATTGGAATTTGCGGCCGCAGCCGCCTGTGCCGCCGCTCGAGCAGCATAAACACCGCCACCGTCTACGGCGATGTTTTGCTCTAATCTCGCACCCATGTACAGATCGAATGTGATGCTGATATGATAGAGCAATGCTTTCAATTTACGTGCATCCACATAAACTGTATCGGGCATAATGAGAAAATAATCATAGTCATCGAGGTAATTATCCGCAATATATTTTATTACATGGAATGGACGCAGATTTTCACGTGTGTCTGTGAAGCCGACAATATTCTTGAGTTTATAGTTCGTTTTGACATTGTCGGCATTAATGAAAAACTTAATTTTATTTACTAAATGCGCGGTGGTGCGGTTTATCGCTGTTGCTAGTGTATTGATATTATCCTGTGATGTCATGACACCGATGAAGATCTTCTCTCGTATGCCCAACTCGGAGGAGTAATAGCGTGGGCGAATGACGTTTTTTGCCTGGAAAAAAACAAAAGCAAAAATTATGAAATGAAATAAAATAAAATAGAATAAAATAAAATTAAACGAAATTAAAAAAATATTTAAAATAATATATAGAAAAGAAATGAAATGAAATAAAATTAAAGTGACATCATTAAATCAATATAAAAAAAAATAAAAAAAAGAACTTAAGTAACATAAAACAAAATGTAATTAAGTAAAATAAATTATAATGAGTTAAAATAAAAAAATTAAAATTAAATCAAATAAAGCGGAATAGAATTAAAAAAAATTTAATAAGAAAAAAAATTAAATTAATTAAAATAAATAAAATAAAATATAATAAAAAAATAAAATAAAATATAACAAAAAATACAAAATAAAACAAATTATAAGATCAAAACAATAAAATAGTAAAACAAAGTGAAATTAAATAAAATAAAACAAATGAAATATAATAAAATTAATGAAATTAAATAAAATATTAATTTAAAAATGCATACAACATAAAATTAGTTAAAATAAAGTTAAGAAAAAAAGTTTAACAATAATAAAATAAATAATTTAAATTAAAAATGTAACAAGAATAAAAAAGTAATAGTGAATAATACAATTAAATAAAATAAAACAAAAAATAGGATAAAAAATTATAATAAAATGTATTATACAATCAAATAATAAAACAAAGCGAAATCAAATGAAATGAAATAAAAAGAAATTAAAAATAAATAAAAAAAAATTAAAATTTGAATAAAAAGGAAATAAAATAAATTAAATTAAAAATAATAATAAAAATAAAAAAGTGAAAGTCAAAGTAAATATAAAAATTACACGAAAAATAAACAAGAAAAAAAAGAATAAAAAAATAAAATTAAATTAAAAAGTTTATTAAAAATAAATTAAATAAATTAAATTAAAACGTTTATTAAAGAGGAAATAAAATAAATTAAATTAAAAAATATAATAAAAATAAAAAAGTGAAAGTGTAAGTAAAAATTAAACTTAAATAAAACAAAAAAAATAGAATAAAAACAAATAAAATTGAATTAATAAGCTTAATAAAAAGTAAATGAAATAAATTTAATTAAAAAAGATAATAAAATTAAAAAAGTGAAAGTGAAAGTAAATAAATAAAATTAAATAAAAAATTAAATAAAAAATTAAATAAAATATAAAACAAAAAAATAGATTAAAAAAATTAAATTAAAAGGTTTATTAAAAAGGAAATAAATAAATTAAATTAAAAAATATAATAAAAATAAAAAAGTGAAAGTAAAAATTAAAATTAAATAAAAATAAACAAAAAAATAGAATAAAAAAATAAAATTAAATTAATAAGTTTAATAAAAAGAAAATAAAATAAATTAAATTAAAAAATATAATATAAAAAAAGTGAAAGTAAAAGTAAATATAAAAATTACACGAAAAATAAACAAAAAAAAAATAAAAAAAAAAATAAAATTAAATTAAATTAAAAAGTTTATTAAAAATAAATTAAATATATTAAATTAAAAAATATAAGAAAAATGAAAAAGTGAAAGTGAAAGTAAATATTAAAATTAAATAAAAAATAAAACAAAAAAATTGAATGAGAAAAAAAATAATATTAAATTAAAAAGTTTAATAAAAAGGAAATAAAATAAAAAAATATAATAAAAATAAAGAAAGTAAAAGTGAAAGTAAAAATTAAAATTAAATAAAAATAAAACAAAAAAAAAATAGAAACAAAAATAAAATTAAATTAATAAGTTTAATAAAAAGAAAATAATATAAATTAAATTAAAAAATATACAAAAAAACAAAAAAAAACAAAAAAAAATAAAATTAAATTAAAAAGTCTATTACAAATAAATTAAATAAATTAAATTAAAAAATATAAGAAAAATGAAAAATATAATAAAGAAAGTAAAAGTGAAAGTAAAAATTAAAATTTAATAAAAAATAAAACAAAACATAGAATAAAAAAGTAAAATTAAATTAATAAGTTTAATAAAAAGGAAATAAAATAAATAAAATAAAAAAATATAATAAAAATAAAGAGAGTAAAAGTGAAAGCAAAAATTAAAATTTAATAAAAAGTTTAACAAAAAATAGAATAAAAAAGTAAGATTAAATTAATAAGTTTGATAAAAAGTAAATAAAATAAATTAAATCAAAAAATATAATAAAAAAAGTGAAAGTGAAAGTAAATATAAAAATTAAATAAAAAATAAAAAAATAGAATAGAATTGAATTTAATAAAATCAAAACAATCAAATAATAAAACAAAGCGAAATTAAATGAAATAAAACAAACCAAAAATTAATAATTTTAAAGTTAATGCAAAAGAAAATTAATTAGAATCAAATGAATTTGTATTAAAAATTTAATAAATAAATTAAATTAAGAAAAAATATAATAAAAAAGGTGAAAGTGAAAGTAAATATTATAATTAAATAAAATATAAAACAAAAAAATAGAATAAAATAAAATATGATTATCGATGTATACTACATGTAAACGATGTAGTCCTTAGTTACTGACGGATCGATCCACAATCCAACCCACAGATCGCCTAAAACTTCTGCATGATATGAGAAATAAAACTGGGACGATCTTTTTGGAATAAATCGTATTTATTATTAAATCGTCCAAAGCATAAGAAATGCCCCAAATATCAATTGGAAAATTTTACTCACGAGTAGTGTGCACGGGTTCAATGTATTCGGAAAAATCGTATTAATGGTTAGATTTACTTAATATTTGGCTCTTTGCCTCGGATAAAACCTCGGAAGCTTTTATCTACAGGGATTGGGCCTGAGACCGACCTATTCGAAAAAATAGTATTTTGGCTCAATTTGTCTAGATATTTGGAAGAGATTTAGCTTCTTGACTAGAGTAGTATCATAGCTTTTAATTAGCTGAAATCGTTCTATTAAAAAAGAAGAAGAAATATATATATATATATATATATTGTCTTGGTTGGATAATTTTTCAAATTCAATTCAATAATAAAACAACAAACATTTTAACATACTAATTAATAAGTTATAAGCAATACAAACAAAGGAACAGAAATCTGAGTAGAACCATTTACGAGCGAAGTTTTGCATAAAATAAGAATAAAATAAAAAATAAAATAAAATAAATTTAGCTTAATTAAAAAAATAAAATAAAATAAGATAAATTTAGCTTAATTTAAAAAAAAAAAAAATCAAGCTACAAAATTATATTTTTCAATCAATAAAATTCTTAATAACCTACACTATAAATACTATTAATTCAAGGCAAACAACTGTGAAAAAATAATGTTTAAATCTGTAAATAAAAAATGCACTTAAATTTACGACACTCTTTCTTTACACAATAAAAAGTGCTATAACAACAAAATAAGCCAAATCATATTTCAATACTACGAGTATTATGAAATATATTCAGATTTCCAGGCTTCTCTTTACTAAACACAAATATGATCTTCTGATATTTTTTTTCTTTGGTCCGAAGTATGCAAGTACTAAAAGAAGAAGGAGAAATATACCCATCTAAATATAATCACAATGTGGAGTGGAGTAAATTTGTAATTTTTGTGTGTGCTTGTGTGCATCTCAGTTTTCGAGATATTTTAACCAAATCAGGCACACAGATACACTTGTACATATAAGAGATCATTTGCGGGAACCGAATTGGACTACTTTAGCATATAGACGAACGATTTTTCAAATTATCACGCGCTGGAATCGTTGCATAGCTGCCCAAGGATACTACTTTGAAGGGAATGGCAGAGTTGTAGACTAATTTTGAAATATACGTTTTTTATGGAATCAGTCTCATTACTTAATTGTCACACCTCGTATAATGAAAATGTTTGAAATCTGAGTACTATATCATATAGCTAACATATAGCTCCCATATACCGATTTGTTCAGAAATAATCATTCAGCCGGAACTCAGTCAAAAAAGCGAGAAATTTGGTATTCCACAACGTACATATACGAGGACATTAACAAAAGATCGGTAAGTTGACTAGAAAATAAATTCTTTTTTGTATTCTTTAGCAAACGCCATTGATTTCAATGCATTTCTTAAGCCTTAAGATCCAATTCTGAAAACAATATCAAATATCTTGCTTTCTAAGCTTATCCTCGTTGCTTTAAAAGACCTTTCCTTTTAAATTTACTATAATTTTTGGAAATAACTAGAAATCAAAAGGTGCTTCATCCGGGGGATATGGTGCTGCACGTATTTCTTCAATCCAAGAGATTGCATTAAAATTGCTCGTTATTTCAACAGTGTGTGATGGCGCGTTGTCATGATGTAAAAAGTAGCGCCGCAGATCCTCTTTCTTCCTGTTTCCTAACAAATTTTTGAAAACTTTTGGTAAGCACTCTTCGGTGTACCATTTTGAGGTTACCTTACCGTCTGACCCTTTCCATGTGGAATAGCGGCAAAGATTGTAGATCGGGTAAGGTAAACTGATATCATTACTTTTGTTGCTAGTTTTGGTTTCTTGGGTGGGTTTGCTCCTGTTGGGCTCCATACCATGGTCTGCTGTTTGATTTCTGGATCTGGATTTATAGAACCAAGATTCGTCACTAGTAACGATTTTACTAAAGATTAAGGACTGACCACTTTCGAATTTGGTTTTGAACAATTGAACAAAATGCACTCGAGCCTCTTTTTGACCTGATTTAAAACTCGTGGTATCCACCCATCGTGCAGATTTCTTCGAGTATGCCAGATTATTGCTTAATATTCGCGATACAGCCATGGCATTCAAGCCTGATTCATTAGCAATCTTTTCTTGGGTTAATCGTGGGTCTTTGTCAATTTGGGACTTCACCAGAGCTACAGTGACGTCATCAGAGGAAGATTTTGTTCGACCTTCTAGAGGCTCATCCTCTACGGAAAAATTTCCGGTCTGATATCTTCGTAACCACTTAGAAATAGTCTTTAAAGACGGTGTTATCGTTCCATATGCAATTTAGTATTCACTGAATATTTGCTTTGACCGTAAATAACGCCGAGGCTCGAAGATGGCG